TAATGTTGTAACATTACTTGTAACTTCTAGCGGGGAATTTGTTCCCTTGTGTAGATCATTTGATCGGGCAATGGAAAATTATCTTCTTTGACTTGTTTGTCTTCTCTCTATCACAAACAACGTAACAATAAAGCCGTAAGTACAGAAAAATTTGAACAGATCTCGTACTGACACTGATGTGATAAAACATAATTGGATAATTTTTTTCTTTTTTTCCCATCTTCCAATGATATCACGTCATGTGTTGTCTATAAGATTTTTGTCAAAAAATTTTATACCTGTAGCATTGTTCAACAACGTAAATAGAAGAATTAACATTATGAAAATATCAAAATATTGTTTTCCGCATCAGGGCCAATTTGATTTAAACAAAAATAAAACTTTTTAATAGATTTTAATAAAAGTTGATGGAATATATGGATGAAAAGTTATCAATTCCATAAAACATGTGATTAAAATTAATTGTTAACTTTGACTTAAGTTTTAATTATTTTTTTAGTCGAATCAAACATGAGCAATATCAACCCTTTTGGTGCTAGTTCATTGTAAAAAAAAGCAAGATGTATGACTTTGTGTATTAATATCACTTTCCATTATATTGTATAACCATTCAGTATCAATATATGGTTCTCATTGTAGGAATCATCAAAGTTAACTTCAATACTTTGCAACAAATAGAAAATCTGAAAAGGCAATATTGACAAATGAAAGTATTTTCATCATATACTTGATCAGTTTATGAACAATGCTCATTGTGTTTTGAACATAGTGAATATGAGAAGTGCCAAATATAATGGTCGAAATAGAAGCATTCGAGAACTTATCATTTGTTTATTGGACAAATAGTGTTCAAATCCAATGACTACACATTACATCGATTTCATTAAAGGGAGTGTCCTCAACTGATATTTTGATGAATTTCAAAATGATTATAAATTTTAATGAATTTCGAGGATTTGAATAGATTTCCACAAAATTCATAAGAATTTCATTAAAAATGGTGCAATTTAAAAAATATATATATATAAACTTGAAAACATCAAAATTTTTAAAATCCATCTATTAATGAAATCCTTATAAATTTACAAGTTATTGAGGATATACCCAGCTTTTTATGAATTTTATTGAAATCTCAATTGGGCATACCAAAGGGCACCCTTATAAATAATATTGTAAATGTTGCCATTCAACAATGGGGATGTAGCTCAGATGGTAGAGCGCTCGCTTAGCATGCGAGAGGTACGGGGATCGATACCCCGCATCTCCACATTTTATATATTTTGAGAATTTTTTACCAACCAACTGAAAACTTGTGAAAATGATGTCCCGATCCATTGGGCTTTAGTGGGCTACATTAGAAACACCTATCATTTACACGTCCAATGGGCTCCGTTATTTTACGCATAAGAACAAGCCCATGATTTTATTTTTTAGGACATTTTACTCCAAAATCTACCTTATAGTTGTTTTACTTTCAATTGACAAAAAAACAAAAAAGGAATAGCATAGGATTAATAAAACCTTATCAACAACATAGACGAATAAAACGACACTTGAAGTGAATTGTCATAATTGATTGTGCATGATCGAAATTTCAACTCACGACATGATATTAACAAGAAATTATCCTTCTGTTTGACCCCATTTTTGGAGGATAATGTATTTTGTAATAATGATTTTTTTTTTATAGAAATTTTATGGTTAAAAAATAAGAAAATTGTTTGGATTTACGTGTAAAATTATTTCATGGGGAATGTGTGATTGAAAATGAGTTTTTAAAAAAATGAAGGTCAAACATAGGCTATAGCTGCCACTATTTGATGCAGATTAAAATATACAAAAAAAAAAAAATTCAATTAGTGTCAACAATTAATTTTACAAAACATTTAATTGAATTCGCAACTTTTCAATTATATATTTTATTAATTTTATCAAAATACTAAAAATCGTATTCAAATCTACACCAAACAGAGGTTTTAAATAATTTCACCTTGTATGTGAAATTTATTTCAAAAATAATAAACAAGATTGAAACCATAATGATTAATGATCAAGCGTTTACATGGACGTTGCTGTGTGTACATAAAATATACACACAGAACAGATACAGAACAGACACAACAATAGTGTGGGTTTTTTGCATTATTTTTTTCACTCGGACCCACCTCAATGTGAGATTTCTATAAGTTTTTCGTGAAAACATTTTCTGTACACATGGAAAAATTCGTGTTTACATATGCTCCACACCAGAAAGCTAAATAAAGACACGAAAAGTACAAAATAATAATAATAATAATAATAATAATAATAATAATAATAATAATAATAATAATAANNNAATAATAATAATAATAATAATAATAATAATAATAATAATAATAATAATAATAATAAATTGTTTAATTAAGCAAATTTACACAAAAATCAATTAACAACGCAATTCTTGTAAATAAATGATTGATATACCGCATATTGCACCAAGCTAAAATATCAAGAAATAACACACGATACTAATAAAGTAAATGCATGCGTTGAAAGTATTTTCTTGATGATATTGGACTTGATATAATTAAGAGAGAGTGACTTTTTTTTTTTTAATTTACAATCATAATCAAAATCAAAACGAGACTATCTTAAAATCAAAATCGAGAAAAAAAATTCAAATTGTAAGTCTCTATAATCATTTAATCTTTTACCAAATAAGTTTCTTGCTACTCAAAGGAATTTCGGTCTTGTTTTATCATTCAAATTCTCTCAAGAATGTACCTATCAATATGGCTTGTACGTTCAAGCAGTCTGGCTCATGGCAATCTCTTTATTGTCGTTCCACAACTAGGTTGGGAGAAATAAGGTTTGGACAAGCCGACCTTGATTTTGAAATTGAGGTCATTTCCTTTTAAATTTGTCCACAAGATATATATGGAGAGAACTTTATAAACTGTTGTACGATCATATATTTTTTCACTCACCAAACCTCCAAATATAGTAGAAAAAATAAATCATAAATTTACCCATTCACCAATTTTACTCTTTGAATTTATTTACAAAGAGAACAAGAAAAATCAAGATATTAAATTTATATTTTTTTTTCTTTTAAGAGCCCTCAAGTCACTTATACTAAACAAAAGAAAGGAACCATGTTATTTTACACGTAAGGTACCCAAAAAATTTTGACCCAATTTTCTATGTCTCAATTGCACAAGGAGAATAATTGAAATTTACAAATTTTTTCATGGAAAAATTTAATGATAATATCTTATGGCACTTCCCTTCCAAAATACAAAGTCACGGTCAATTGGAAAAAGTACATTTGATCACTCCATTTTTGTCACCTTGCAAAGAGGTCCTTCTACTTTGAAACTTTTTGAGGCAACAATTTGAACACTTAAACTACCCCTATCGAAATTGACATCTAAAATATATTTGGTATGTTGAACTGAATAGAAATATATGATACTAAAAAGCTATATAACTAACGTTCGTGTTATATTCTATATGTCATGTCTAACATAATCTTAGACTACGTTACAATCTCTATACAATCTTCAATAAGTCCATATGCTCTATTACCATGTCAATTGTCAATTGCATTTTAATGCATATGTTCCATGTAATTTTCAAAAAAATTTCAAAGGCCTATTCGAGATCATACTGAGGCCGTTTGGCCCCCATTATATTAAATTTCATTTTTCTCTCTTTTATTTTAAACCATACAATCTTCCATAAAATAATATTACACGTAAATTGAAAATTTTTACTTATTTTTCAACCACACATTCTTTAAAAAAAAAAAAAAAACCATTTCATCCATTATAATTTGAAATAATGGGGACCAAACGGGGGTTGGATGGAAAATTCGTGAAGCTACAAATGGGATCATTCTAGGTCTAGAATTTGAGATAGTGGGACATCATAAATAATGAACTCAAGGTTAATGCTCTCACTTCATGAGTATTCTTTGACTAATAAACTCAAAGTATCGAATTCAAGGTTGGTATCAATTCGCTCATTATTCTTAAAATGAAAAAGTTACTCTCATAAAAGTATTATTGAGATGTAATCATTATAAAAGTAAATGTAAAAAGAAAACAACTTTCTTTAAGTTATTATAATATTGGCTGCCTCTAATTTCTTTGAAAATTCATATGCGACCGCAAGCCTGAAAGACTTATGCGGTCGTATAAGCCATTTTTATGGCTCAATCTTTTTCCCTTCATCCCTTTTTATTTTGAACAATTAAGATTACAATAGAGGCAACATAAGTTGTTGCAGTTAATATGTGCGCGCGCTAGAACACTTTCGTGGATCATGAATATCTTAATGGATCTTTAATAGCTAGGCATGTTAAAATTTATCGTTAAGTAATAAAATTAAAAAATATGTAGATCATCTTAATTCATATATGAATATCACAAATATATGGATCTTAAATTTTAAGTAATAAAATATGTAATTCATCTTACCATCTTCGAGATAATATTGACGCGCACTTATTAGTATACCAATACTAGCATTAAATGCACACAGAGTTTTCGATAGTTTTATATATATATATATATATATATATATGAATAATTTGTGAAAGTATTTATTTATTTTTTTACTAAAATGGCTTTTAAATAAAATTAATTTAAAAAACTTTCTACAATAAGCAAAAATAGGAGTATGCCAAACGAATCCCAAAAAACTAAACGAGATTGAAGCTTCTTATTTTTATTTATATTTATAGCCGTACAGACTTCTTGTCCTAAGGTCATTGTTCATGAGAACAAAGTCATCACCCTCTAGAAGCACGCGTTGATTTAATATTCTTCACTTTTTTTTTTCTAAGTTTCCCATTAATCTTAATTTTCCACGAAGCTGCCTCAATACAAATGAAAATTATAAATATTGACCATGTTATGTATCCCAAAAAACATTGATTTTCATAAAATATCATCTAGCATTATTTCAAGGAAAAAAAAAAAAAAAGAAAACCTTTTATTTAGGGGAAGAAGAAAGAAGAATATATATGGCTGCAGAGAAGTATCAGCAGGGATATCCACTAGCTCCGGCAAGCGTTATGCCCCGAAGCGATGAAGAATCGGCTGCCTTCCGGTCGATCGACGAACACGAGCTCAAGAAGAAGAAGAGACTGAGATGCTTCGCTTATATTGCTATCTTTGCTGTGTTCCAAACCGCAATAATTCTCGTCTTTGCTCTCACTGTGATGCGCTTTAAAACGCCCAAGGTTGAACTAACTTATCTAAAGCTTAAGCATTGAACTGCTAGCGATAAGATTATTTATTCAAGTAAATTTTGTCAACAATACACCACATGCAAGCATATCAAATTCATTTTTCATCAAAAGCAGTGGCGGATTTACAGCGGGGGCAGTAAGGTGACCCTCGAATCCAAAATTTTGCACAAGATTGTCAAAAATTCCTCCTAGTTTTCAGTTTTGTTCCCACGATCAAAATTTCGTGAAATTTGCCCTAACAACTTATAATCCTAGCTCCGCTCATGATCAAAAGTACGATACGTGCACAACTTCTTATGAACCGTAGTTACAATGTAATCATTACAGAATATTTATCTGCTTTGATATTGTGTAAAATAAATGAACCTAAAAGTTCAAAAGGTTAGAGAGAAAACACGTTTAGTCATTTGATTTTATGTTTAAGTAGCGGTAAGCATTAAATTCATAACTCTATCATTTTGAACCGTCAACTCTAAAAGCTCGATCCAATAAAAATAAACACGTTTACTTATTTAAATTTTATCTTCAACAGGTCCGTTTGGGAGACGTCAGCATCAGCAGAGCCAACGGAACTGATGACTTTAGGTTAACCGCAAGAGTTCTTGTAAGGAACAGAAATTTTGGGCACTACAAATTTGATGACACCATGGCAACTATAAAGTCTGGGGACGCAACTGTAGGGGAATTTATCATCCCAGAATCAAGGGCTAGGGCACGATCAACTAAAAGACTTTATATTATTGCTGATATAAATTTTTCTTCAGGCAATAATTCTGGGTTTTTGCCTCTTTCTGTGGAGGCCAAATTGAGAGGAAAAGTTCGTCTTATTAAGGTTATAAAAAGGAATAAATCAGCTGATATGAATTGTACTATGTCGATTAATATGGCTACGAATTCCGTGCAAGATCTGAACTGCGAGTGAGGGATCGAAATGGATCGAGAGATTCACATCAAGTGACGAGTTATTGAAAACTCTATCGAAGTGTTTTCTTTAATCGAAGTATAGTCGGCCATCTATAGCCATCTCTTTGTCGATGGCTGAATAGAGTTAAGACTTGCAAGCTTCTATTTGGTGTGGTTTTCTCGGGGATCGATCTTGATATTTTCTTTATTTTTGATATCTATATCTCAATGTGATTTGTGTGAATAATATCAAGTTCATTTTCTAATCTCGATAATTTTCTCAATAGCTTTTAGGCGTTTACAATCCGTCCAAACAATTTAGATTTCTTTCATTATTCTCATTACTAATTAGAGAATTGCTTCTGCTTTTTTAAACAAAGTTATGATCCTCCGTCAACAAAATTTGTTTCGACGTTTGATAATCGATGTGTGACTTATCTTTTAATATGTATTTGCAAGATGTTGGCTCGTGAGAAAATATCAATTTTGAAATCCGACGTCAGACTGAGAAAATTGTCAATTATTATAATAAATTGAAATTGACTGTATAAAGTGATTTTTGAAATTTGAAATAATATAGATTAAAGAAAAGGTCAACCCTGGATATCCTCCAATATTTGACATTATTTATGATTTTTTTCCCCTGTTTAAACAGCAGTTCTAGATGGGATCATTGGAAATTCAAACTTCGCTCCAAATTTCAACTCACGACGTAATTTGTAAAGAGAAAAAAAGGTAACCACAATGTTATTTTAACCCTCGTTTGGCTCCCATTATTTGAATTCATAATTGGGGAACAGTGTTTCTTTGAAAATTATGTGATTGAAAAGTTTTCGATTTGAGTATAATATTATTTTATTGAAGATTGTGTGGTTGAAAATAAAAGAGAGAAAAAAATTAAATTAAATTAAATTAAAGAAATTTAAAATGGGCCAAACGGGGTCTTAATTATTGAATTCCATACTTGATTCTCTGTTCACATTCACAGTTTTATCGATACATTATTTGAAATTTATAGCGTACTTTTTGGATAGAGTATTAAATGAGGACAATACTGTTAAGATGATTTTTATCTTTTTACTTGTTTATATTCAAAATTATACCCCTCCGTCTCGATTATATAGGTTGGATTTTCTTTTTCATTTTTTTCAAATATATAGGCTTATTTTCTAATTTAAAATATTTTGTTGTTCCTTTACCAATATACCCTTATTCAATTTTTCCCATTTAATATGCCAACTTCTTTAAATTATCTAAATACACAAATTTCTCACTTCTTAAAAACATGGAATAACTCTCATTTCTTCTTCTTCAAATAAAATTATTTAAATTCTTTACTAATTCCAACAATAATTTACTACTATATATTGAAAATTAAATAGGGGCAATCTAGGAAAGATTTTGGCAAAAATTAATTTTCTAATGACATTAAAAAAGATTTTATAATCTGTGTGAAAAACGAAACAAGCTTATATAATTGGGGCTGATAGAGTACAATGTATTCCGTCAAGATTGTGAAGGCAATTTTTTTTAAAATCTTTTTTCTCGTTAATATTTAGTATTATACAATCTATCTTGTCAAACAAATCAAACGTAAGTGCAATTAAAATAAAAAGGAAAAAGAATTCACTTCTTTTATATTGTGAAATATGAAACTCTGTAGATATATAATATGACTTTCACTACCTAAGTTGGCAAAATCATCTAATTAGCATTTTTTCAAAAAATAATTTTTATATAATAATTTAAAGAAAATGAATGCCTCTCCTGACTATTTATCATGAATATATTTGACTGTGAGAGAGAGAGAGAGAGAGTACATTTGTAATAGCATAACTAGTAGGAGAATGTCATTTGTATAGAAAAATTTTTCACAGAATTTGATCAGATTACTCTCATGTGTGGGGATTCATCGTGAATAAAAAATTGTCAAAAAATATCCCCAACCCACCCCCTATGTGTATATTCTGATAAGCTTCTGTATGAAGTCTACTTGTACACACAACAAGGTCCTAACTAGTAATAACAATGGGGAGCCCCCAGGGCATATCTTTCAGTGGCAAAGGGGAGGGCGGATAGGGCTCAGCGCGGCAGTGTGCAGAGTTCGATTTCCCGCAAGGTGGAATTGACTTTGTTGCAAGCGGGAGTTACCATATGGATTAACAGCATTGGCCTATCCATGTGCTCTCCACCCTGGCTCCTGGGAGGCACATCTTGCGATTTACCTCCTCCACGATGGCCCAGGACAGAATCGGTGGGGGCCCTTAAAGTTGGGGTTCAACCTTTTAGTAATAACAATGGGGACGAAGCTACAGTGTCAGAGTGACTCCTCACAAACACAGAATGGGTGTACAATTTTGGGATATTTTCTTAATGCAGGACCCACCTCACGTGGAGGCTCTAAATGTCTGTACGCTAAGCTTTATTCTAACAATTGTTGACATACTGCTTCAAGCTCTTTTATTTTTACACTTCTCCCAGTCATAATACATTACTGAATTTTCATGATTGCCATGCCTTAAAACACAATACTTAATTTAATCATACATTTCATTAGATTCATATTATATCAATTTTTATTAAAAATTACTAAAAATTTGATTTTAATCTAAATACATGTCAACTTTAAAGCTCCCCATCTCTTTAATTACCTTATTATACTGCTTCTGATCATCTAATAAACTTGCATCTGACTCTAAATCCTCCTCAAAATTATTCTTGAATTTAACAATACTGAAAAACTTGGCAGGAAATTCACTCTGATTTTTTTTTTTTTAATCTTTTTCTACATCTGCTTTTTTTTTTTTTTTTTTAAAAAATTTCTTCCACTTCAAGAGGAGCCTTAATATTTGCTGCTGAAAAACTGCTACATAATGAACTCATTAACGGTGAGATATACAGAATTGTTAACTTGTCAATTAGAGTGTCAGATCAGAAAAGATAATTGTTAGCCAAACATTCTTCAAGGCCTTGAAAATGAGCACATCAGAACACGAGAAAATCTTTGATAGAGGAACCCAAATGAATCTCTTTCCCATCTCCAGCAACGAGATACGAGTTCTTCTGAATATCGATTTCACTTACATTTGTTCCATGAACCTAGTAAGCTAAACGACTTTAGTAAATCATAAATTGGATGAATTATGGCAACTTAACATGGCCTTATACCATTATCGGCGATTTTGGTAACATATGAGAAGAAAAAATCTACCCGAATAAAACTTTGGTCGAATCCGGTACATTTATTTGGTTTTCCTTTGATCAGAAACCCTTGCACCTGCAATCTTGCAAACTGGTTCATCCTCTGGTTTTAGCAGCTTCAGAGCTGGATGAACGTTAAGGTCCCCCATCACTATCTTCTGGCCGACATCCAATTCACTCAAATCCACATCAATGTATGGAGGAATAATATCGGCAGGGCAAAGGAACTTGACAGTCCTCTTGATGATGTTCAAATATGACCCTACAAAGTCGACAAGTGAAATTTGAAATGGTGCAAAGATAATATGTTTGGTAAGGTGGATTAGAAACTAGTACAGAAGCAAAATAAATTAAAATTTTGTTTATAATACATTCACTCGTGTCCAATACTGCTTAACAAACATGGCCAGAAGGCACAACGTAATAAGATACTCATGAAAGGAATAAGATAAAGAAAAGGGCAAAGGAGGGAAAAACCTATTGATACGTAGCACAGCCAAAAAGAGAAAAGGGCAAATATGCAAATTGCAATGTAGTTGCAATCAAGGTATGATGCATCGCCAACCCTAGACTGAATAATGAGCTCTTCAATTAATACACTACATGAATATTTTATTTGAGTTTTCATACACTTCAAGAGTCCAGAATAAAAGGAGAATCCATATATTTCGTTTTAGTTCTATTAACCTAAAGTTTTGGATTCCTAAGTACTCGTACAAAGTTCTAACAATCCACTCTCATCCTTGTCTCATCAACTAAAACATTATCACCAGCGTCTATATATACCATGTGAAGTCATCTTAGATATGAATAACTTCGATGTGATAGTCCTAACTAGTCATTTAGTAAAACTTGGCCATTAGTTTCCTATTAAAGGCTTGGAAACAATCATGTTCAGGCAGTCCCAAGTCCCAACAGGATATGATAAAAGGCTTAACATCAACGAGTATTTGTTAGCTTCCATAAAGTCATGCATTTCTAGTCAATTTACAGTTTCAAAAACGTAAGAAACTCCACAAACAAGTATTATTAACTAGAAACTCAACAATTAATTAAGCTTATTCGGATTAGAATTGTGGTAAGCTACCGTTACTAACTAAAAATCAAAAACTGAAAAATTTAAAACCCACTTTATGAAAGTCATTTAGGGAAAAAGGAATAGCTAAAAACATCAATGTTCCTTCTTGGTTACGGACACATTGGAAACACATTTAAGAAAATACATCGTATCCAATTTAGCAAAGTTTTTAACAGAGAAAGTAACAAGAGCCAAGATGAAGAAACAAGACTTAGCAGTAATAGTTTACTTGTATAAACCATACAAACAGGACTTCCACGTCAGCAAGCAACCATAACTTTTTTGCATGAATTGACTTGCTCAACCTCCCAGAGAGGACTTCTTAACCTAGAATGCCTATATAAAAAAATCCATATGAATTCTAATAGAGATGTTCGACTCAAAACCAGAATATGACAATCTGATTTTTCCAAAATTAAATGCTCATAGAAGTCCAACAAAGGATTCTTTACTATAAGATAACTAATGCCTTATTTCACCCTAAAATTACTTAAAAAACAACTTTTTTGGAAAGTATATATCCATATACATTTTATGCTTAGACATAAACCACGTTATGAAGTTGTAAGTCAAGTGAATAAGAAGAGAAGCCCCTTAAATGAGTAGATGCATTTTAGCTCTAGCATAACAAGGTACTAGGAGAAGAGGTTACATTTCTTTTTCTTACATACCTTTTTTCAACCCAGGAGATATGTCATCTCCCCGGAACACAAGAGGAACATCAACCTTTAGTAAAGCACTAGATGGAGCTCTTATGAAGGTAATATTAAGGACTGCATCCGTACCTGCATGAAGATGAAGCTGATGCAATCAAGAAAGATTAAATTAGTGTACAGTCCGGAATAATTACTCAAACTATAACTTAAAAAGTTGTCCTTTTGAAGATCACACAAAAATCAGTTTCAAAGCATAATTTCTACGTGACAATTCTCTGCCGATTTATCACTATATCCTTATTTTAAAATTATTTGAACATGAGACGATGAGGATACGTTCTTTTTTTTTTTTTCTTTTTTCTTTTTTTTAAGCAGTGACAGACCATTATTGTGAGCAAAGCTAAAACAATGCTTTATATTAAGCATTTCCAGAAGCTACAGCATAGAAGGTTTGAAATACTTGAAACCTTCCTACAAGATAAATACACAAATGCAAGAATCTTAATCTTTTTCCCTAATGAGTCTCTTAACCATGTGCCAAATGTTATGCAAGTGATGAAGCACGAGAATACAGATCTTTTTCATCATTCTGATCCATATTATCAGTACTCAGTAAGTATACTAGCACTCTTCTCCCACCTAATAACAGCTCCATATGACTTCTAGATACTCCTACAAATAACAATACACTGTATGATATTACCAACTACAGCACTCAATCATATTTAATTGTGATTAGACCAGAATTTGGTCCGAGTCTGTAAATCGCATATAAATTTTAAATTCACGCATAGTTCAGGGATTTATAAACGAAATATTCATCACTTCGCAAGTTTGAAATATGTTCTTTGACCCATACACCTTGCAGGTACAGAACTTCAATTGGAACCTACAATATAAGAACAGATTTCTTATACATTCGTAAATAAACTCACAATCTCATTATCTTCGATAAAAATATGATTTTAGTAAATTTTAATAAAAGTTGATGAAATATGTAATTAAAAAGTTAATAAAAGTAGTGGGTCCCAATGTGTGGTTGAAAATGAGTTTCAAAAATAATGGGTTTTTAAGAACTGGGGCCAACCAGAGGCATTATAGTTGATTAAGATGGATTGTATCCATTGATTATCTATCCAAAGAATGTCATATGCTATATTTTTCTTATCCGGCTTAAACCCAATCCAACCTCAATATTATGTGTATTTGATTATAGTGCAAATGACTATCTTTTGAATGTAAAATTAAAGAACACTATCCACCTTAATCCACATAATACTATCTAACAATTACTATCCATTTTGATGTTATACTAAATTCCATCGACAGCCTAACATAGCTTTTATGACATCACAATTTGTACACATACATAATCGATATTCATTAATTTGACGACCACATAAATCATCAACAGTGGCACTTTTATACTGCAAAGAGGTACACAACTCAAATGAGAACGGAGAAACCCTCATACATATTCATTAAAGAGAACACGCAGGCCCACAGGCCCATCGGAAAAGCCAAGGGGTCAACTGGTGATTTTCACAACAATTAGTTCAAATGCAGTTGGATAACATGCTTTTCGATTGGTTATGGCTTCAACTATTCCTGCAGCCCACCAATTAGTTAACCATAGACATATTTTAGAAAGATTATATGGACATTACAATTCAAAGGCGCAAACATGCACTAATTTAGAATATCATATAATCATATCCCTTAATTCGAGCTGCTGCTGCAATATTGCCATAACCATACCACTGTATCTAATTACAATATTTCCACTCTATTGGCAAGACAATCGGTTTCAATACAATACCTTTCTGGGCAAGACCCGGACTTTCTCGATAAGCTCATCGGACTTGAACTCGGGACGGACCTCCAGATCAAAAACCCTGGAAAGAAAGAAAGACTGGCCCATATGATTCACTAGCTTCTTTATCTGATTAGTTTGCACCGAAATAAGTCGTTTATTGCCACCGTGCTGGCCATCCTCTTGCTCGAAAACAATACTGGGCACACGACCGGCTTTACGCTCTTTGGCCGATATATTCTTACCGGAGATAGCGCGTGGGATAGCGTGAATGATTTCATCGTACTTTGGGTCAGGTCTTGGGAGGTTGTCGAGGTAGGTGAGTTGCTGGGTTTCTTCTAGTAGAGCGGCGGTGGCGAAGCGGCGGAGGTGATTATGGAGAAGGGTTTGATTCAAAAGTGAGCGTCGGATCAGCATTTGATCTGTGAAGCGCAGTGAGAGGTGTTGAGGTCGGATCAGCATTTGATCTGTGAAGCGCGGTGAGAGGGGTTGAGGTCAAGTGAGTTGGATTGGGGGTTAAGGACGGTTTTGAGGTTGAGCTGTGGGCTGTGGGCTGTGGAGGGAGGGGGAGGGAGAGGGAGAGGAGTATTTTGGCACAGAGTATTAGAGATACAGAAGGTCTGATGTGGTAAAGAGTGCAAAAATTTGGGCCCATTATGAAGTTGGTATTTTATTGGGGCATATAGACATAAATAGTACTGATTGGAGTAGAAAAACGCATGTCCGTCTGATCCCCCATTTTTGAATAATTTTTTTTTTTTTCAAATTCACGTTGTATCATAATTTCTTCCAATAAAATAATTTGTACAGAATTATTTTAAAAAATCGCCACTTGAGAGAGCATGTTTCGAGCATAAAAAGGAAGCTAAGGCAAACAATCAATAAAGAAAAGACTTATGATTGTCGATTTTTTAGAACAAATAAAACTAGACTAGTTGGTGAAGGAGGTTGAAAGCCTTGGTCTTATTAAGTGGTGCAATCATTAATGGTGTGACTTCTCTAAACGAGATAATGCTCAAAGTCGAGAAATCTCCTCTATCTAACTCAAGTGAATTGGTTTTGAAAGCATTCCATAAGTTTTTGATGACTTTTACCTTCAAACTGATTAATCACCTACGTGCCCTTTACATCTAATCATTTCGAAGAACACATGTTCCTAGTCTTACTGCAACTATTGGCACCAAATTAGCCTGGACTTCTTCCTCGAGTCTTATCATGATTGCACACTCGATGAAGGAGCTTTACAATCGGTATTGCCCTTTTATGATATGTTAAAAAACTAAAAACATCAAAATAAGTGCCAAAATTGAACCTACACAAAAAGTCCATACTATCCTAATCCTTTTGCCAATATTAAAAGATTTTCTTTATCTTATTTCGCACTCCATCTTCACATGATCTGGCATTAAATGATAGTATAAATAATGTGTTTTCACTATTTACACTTATTCTTGACCTAGCCCTCGTTTAGTACTCATTAAAGTACATTCCATTATTTGCATTTTTCTCTCTTCTATCTTCAACCACACAATCTTCCATAAAATAATATTACACGTAAATAAAAAATTTTTCCTTCTTTTTCAACCACTCATTTTTCAAAAAAATACTATTCCACTTATTTTTATTTCTAAAAAATGGGGGCCTAATCATTTCCCCCCATATCACATGGGGAAGATATTCGCTAAGGACGTACATTACACCTCTAAAAATTTTGAATGTTGCTAAGTTGGCAATGAGAATGGAAAACGTTTGTACCCGCACTTGTATCTTTTTTTAGTCATTCACGGTTAATATAACATCATCAACATAAAATTAAAACCATAAGTACCTCACTTTTGTTTTTGAAAAAGAATCTGGCTTCTCATATCCATTGATTCTTGCAATTCTCCATTAAGAAATGCATTGTTTATGTTGAGTTGCTTGATGTCCCAAACTTTTGACACTACTATTGTCAATATAACACTAATAATTGAGGCTTTCAACTGGGCTAAATGTCTCAAAGAAGTCAATTCTTGAATTTTGGTGGAAGCCCTTTGCCATCTAAACTATATTTGGTTCCGATGACCCATTTGTTGCCTACAATCTTGTATTCTGGTTGATGAGGTACAAGAGTTCATTTAATCTTTTTCTCTAAAACTTTATGCTCTTCTTTCATCACTATTTTCCATATTTTCCTTTTGAGGGCTTCCTCAACATTGGTTGGTCTTAATTGATTTGGTAGACTAGAACTACACTTGACAACATAATAAATTTTATGAAGGTGATTCTCTCATATAGGTTTCATCATTCCTGAAGTTAAAAATATTAGCTCTGTGGCCAATTTTTTCACACTTAACAAATTGGTTTGAAAATTTCTCACCTCTCTTCCTTTATATCTGCCTCTATTTTCATCTGCCGAATGTGTTTCTCCTTATTTGTGACTGTCTTGAGATATGGGAGCTATCCATTGTAAAATTTTATTCTGGTTCATTAACACCTCCGTTCCTTCTATTTTTTGGCAAATCGATACAATTGCTCTAGTGTTACTGCTTTCCAATTTTAGTTGGAGTCTAAATTGTACCAATTGCATCAAGAGCTTTATCAATCCATTGCCAAGTTTCAATCTCAAGTTAGTAGCCTTTGGGAAGCTCTCTTAAGCTGATCCATCCTTTCTCAATGATAAATCTATTGAACTCTTCTCAAAGTATTGAGATCATCGACAGATCATCCATTTTATGATGCATATTCAAGATGACTTTGAGAATACTAGAGCCTTATACTTCATCGCCCTCACTACCAATACTTGATGTTGCTCTTATTGAGCTCATTTGGTGAGACACATCAGAATACTCGTCGAGTTCATTCTATTGATCTAGTCATAGCTATTGTACCAGTTCAATTGTGGTTACTGCTTCTTCAAAGTGACGTCGTTTTCATTGGTCAATGTAACTATTGTAAGGAAGAAAATCATCGGATTTCTAATTGTGCCATGAAAAAGGCTAAGGATGCAAGAGATGCTTAGAAAACTGAGGTACATACCTCTATCCCCAAGATAGTTGTTGCATCTACTAGTTCATCAGCTTTAAAGTCTTCCTCTATACCTAATTTGTCGTATTTTACTGCATCCGATCTTGAGGCAATTGTCCATCAATTTTTATTTCGTACTCCCACTACCTTGGTTGCTTCCTCGGGTATATCTTTCTCTTGGTTTATTGATTTAGCATGTTCCAATTATACAACCCCTGATCCTTCTCTCTTGTTTGAGAAGAAATCTATAAATCAAGTCCTGGTATTTATACTGCTGATGGTTCATATATGTCTGTTAGTCATGTTGGTTCCATCTCCACATCTACTCTTTCAATTCTTGGTACATATCTCCTTCCATAATTATCTCTCAATCTTCTTTCCATTGGACAATGATAAGTGTGGGTTTTTGCACTATTCCGGACCATTAAACTTCGATATTTGTGAGTTTCATTAGCGATTTATTGTTTAATTTAGTTATTTTTATTGTGTAGGCGAAAACCCGACTTTGAACGATGATTTGAAGGTATTTATGCGAGAAAAGATGAAAAAGATAAAGGAAGCATGAAGGCGTTGAAAGATGATGTTTTTAAATAAAAGAAAAAAAAATTCGGCAAGCTGGGCGCCCCGAACAAAAAATAGAAACTGTGGCGCCTAGGCGCCACTATTTCGGTGCCTAGGTGCCACCCGGGTCGTTTTTAATTGTTTTCAAAATTTCAGGGACCAATGCTACAATTTCCTTTAGGTTTTAGGTTAAAATATTCAACCAAACACAAGGTTTTCATTCTTAGAACTTTAGAGGAGCAGTTGGTTCTTCTTTTTCTTCTGGCCTTTTGTTTTATTTCTTTTTCCTTTTTTTTTCACCTATATTTTTTTAGACATGGAAAAGATTAGAATATGGAGATGATGCGTTAGCTTGGAGAAGATGACCCATTGATATTGGAGGATTTTCTACCATTTCTCTCTTTATCAATAAGTTTTTCTTTTCACTTTTTCCATCAATGTTTTGTAAAAAATTGTTAGTTATTTGTGAATATTTCATGGGTAACTAATTATATTTGTGATTGGGGATTATTTCAAATCCAATTTATGATTTTCAATTAATTTGTGTTTTATAATTCTCTTGATTAATGTGTTTAATTCATTGTGTTAAATGTTTATTTTGTTCTTCTTGATTGGTTAGGTGTACAACTAAATGATTAAATTGTTTCGATGAATGCTATTTTGGGATTAGTAGTACGCAATAGCTACTGATTCTAAAACCTAGTAGCAATTACATTTCAATAGATTATGAAGAATTTTCAATTGAATGTATGTGGATTAACACTTAAGTTAGTAAACCGAGCTTGCAAGTTTACCCTTAATTCAATTCGTCTCTTTTGTCATAATGCGCTTGTTAAATTAAATCTAGAGAGCTTGTTCTAGGTTGTTTAATGAATAGAGTTGAGTAAAGAGCTTCTTTTATTCGACTAACATGTAAGAAGAGATTGAGGTAATTGAGCTTGTAATTATTCTTGAATTATTGTTAATTTTGAGAACGAAAATGTATTGTTGTAATTGACATGAAAATCATTCTCGTGGTGACGAAATATCCACCAATCACATTTTCTTGCATCCAATCAAGAACCACTTTGTTTATTTCAGATTTCAAGTTTTTTATAGTTTAAATTTATCGCTTTCCTTAGTTCAACAAACCAAACCCCCCTATTTAATCTATTTCGTCTATTATTATTAATTTTACTTTTTAGTGCGCAATTGACATAATTGAATCAAT